CTTTGCCTCAGAGGTGCGGTGGCACGCCGAGACACGGGCGGGTTCTTCTCCAGAAGGTGCCTCCGGAGGGATGGAGGGACCTTATGCCCCTTTCCCAAGTTGTCACCCCGGGGGTCTGGTGTTTTGCGGGTTGAAAGGCATTTCTGTGGGTAGGCTACAAGTAGATGGGTGTGTACTTCTCGAGTGGCAGCGTGGGCCTGTTTTAACGCTATAGGAGAGACTTCTTTCTCTCAGTGTTCCAAAAGTAAACAAAACTTTTGTGTGGTGCACATGCTTAATTTCATTTACAGGCTCGTTCTCTACATTCCATCCTTGTGCTGAAACAGTATTAATTTTATTGCACATGAATTGAGTTCAGCTATTGGCGGCTAATCATGCTCAGGAAAAAAAGCCCCTGTAAATAGCTATCGGAATTAATTTGGCAGCAACTGTGAGAAATGATCATAAATTCACAAATGCAGTTGAAGCAATGATCCAGCGTGGATTGACCAAGAAATCCCCCCCCAGCCTCTAATGCAGGTTTTGGTGACAGTCAAAAGCGCTAGATCACGCTGATACTGAGCTCCGGGCTGGGAGTTGTCCGAGAAGGACGCAGAGGTGTTAAGGCTCCTGGGTTTGAGCTGGGAAGAGGCAAAGAAGAGAAGGAGCTGGGCTGAGTGCGAGCAGGAATATTAAGAGAAAGCCCCCATGTTTTAATCACGTGCTGCCTGAGGTTGCGTGGGGGTGAATCCAAAAGATGTGGCAATGTCTTCACCTACCAGGAGCCCGCCTGGGGTTGGGGTTCCTGGCACTTCTGGACATCAAGCTATAAGGGGCTCCTTTCGCACAGGGACGCCAACAACTTAAGCGAGCGCTGGAAAAAAATGCCGCCTCCTAACTCTTCTCTCCGGGGTGTGTTGATGAGGCTTTCCTCTGCCACAGGGGCCTGATCTTGAAAAGCCTTAGGCACTGCAAACCGTTTTGCACTGAAGCCGCGGGTATCGTCTGTGGTGAGAAGCCCATTCCCGGGGCGTCCCAGGCGGAAGGCCCGGCTAGCTGAGGATAAACGAGACCTCGCCTTTTTTCTCTGTCGGTGCGGGGAAAGATCAAGACGTACGGGGGAGAGGAGTAGGCAACTACATGGGGAGCCCCTAAGGTGGCTGCAGAGCGTTCCTGGATGCGCAGAGCTGCCTCCCACCGCCGTCGCCGGCAGCGATTCCAGCGGCGGCTTGCAAGGACGGGACAGAGAAGTGAGATGTCTTAATGAAGAGTCCTGTAGGAAGGAAAAACACCCTGGCAGATAAACATTTTTTTCTAACATCAGTGTCACTGAACTTATCTTTTTCTCCTTTTTCGCGTGTGTTGTCATTTGATTAGGCACCTTCGTCTTCATGATGGGAGGAAACACCCCCCCGCCTGTTAGGATCCGAGCTTCTCCCAGTGCGAGGATTTGTCAAGGCTGAGAGACTCCGGATTATCCGTAAACCACCTCTAAAATACACAGCTGCTTTTCTGTCTCCCCGTCGTGAGGGATCTTGGAGCGAATACGAAGATGGCCTCCAGCCTCACCTGCGCCGGTGTGGTCTGGGCATTCCTCTCCTTCCTCTGTGCCGCCGCCTCCTGCGTGGGCTTCTTCATGCCCTACTGGCTCTTGGGGTCTCAGCTGGAGAAGTCGGTTTCCTTCGGCACTTTCCGGAGGTGTTCCTACCCGGTGCGGGATGAGAGCCGCCAGACGACCGTGATGGTGGAGCAGTGTGGCCGCTATGCCTCCTTCCAGGCCATCCCGAGCGCCGAGTGGAGGATCTGCACGGTGGTGACTGGCCTGGGCTGTGGGCTGCTCCTCTTGGTGGCCCTGACGGCACTCATGGGCTGCTGCGTGTCCGAGCTCATCTCCAGGACCGTGGGCAGGGTGGCAGGAGGCATCCAGTTCCTGGGGGGTAAGTACTCGTGCTGGGGGGGCTTGGCTGTAGGTCCACACACGTGGAGACTCCCCCCGTGCTTAGGGAAGAGGAGGGGGTGAGTCAAAATTTCTTCTAGCGAGGGAGACCACTTGGCTCCTGTGATGGTTGAGCTGGTTGTCTGGACGCCTGGATGTGGCCCAAAGACGCAGCCGCCTGTGGTCACTCTCTTGGGCTTAAGCCCCTGCCCGGTCGTTGTGCAACCGTTGAGAGCTGCATGGCCAGTCGATTGCTGTGGGCCAGCATCTTCGCAGGGGTTTCGTGGGCTATAGTTTCTGGTAGAGCTCTGCTGGTGTGGAGGTACCTGGAGAAGCATGGGGGCTGCAGAGCCCTGTGGGGCATCATCGTTTTGCAGAGGAGAGGCTGTGTTGTGTGGGAACAACCTCTCTTCTTTCTCCTTGCTACCCCCAGTGCTGGCACAGCTCCCCCCAGCTCTGCTCTCCGCAGCTGCGTGGATCTGGCAGCAGGTCCGTAGCGCAGGTCTGAGGCGGGGATTGTTTATCCCTGGTGAAGGTGGCCCGCCATCTGCCAGGAGGAGCCCCACCACCACCGTGCCCGCTGATGGTGCCGTGGGTGTGTTGAGTTCATGGGCTACACAGAGTGTGGGAGAATGACCTCCCCTCCTTTTTTTAGCTTCTAATTGTATGGAGTATTTGTAACTGTGGAGTACTTGAAGAGCATGAGACAATAAACAGGATCCCCAGCCGTGTTCATCTGCCAGGAGGAGCCCCACCACCACCGTGCCCGCTGATGGTGCCGTGGGTGTGTTGAGTTCATGGGCTACACAGAGTGTGGGAGAATGACCTCCCCTCCTTTTTTTAGCTTCTAATTGTATGGAGTATTTGTAACTGTGGAGTACTTGAAGAGCATGAGACAATAAACAGGATCCCCAGCCGTGTTTTTTATAGGGCAGGTTTCCCAGTATATCGTCGCTCCCTTGTCATCGGCAACGCGCGGCTCAGCGGCACTCACTTTCGCCTGGTGCAAGCTCCACCGCCTGCCCGCGCTCGCCCCGTACGGGGACGTGTTTCCCCAAGTGCTGGG